CTGAAAACACGTTCTATTTCATCATGAATTTCCCGTCCACAAGCCAGGGCATCCATAAATGCTTCTGGAATTATTTCCCTTAAATTCTCTTTTGGATCCTCAGCCAATCCACGGATCCGGATCGCAAACTCCATGTCCCGAAATTGGGCAATCAAAACATCACCCTTAACATTTTCCAAACTTTCCTCTACAAGTTCCACATCATTAATTTTTATCAACACCTTTCTCAGAGCACATTCACATCTCTGCAACATAATTTGGCAAAACTATTCCACAAAGAAGTGTGTGTTCATCATATTATGATCCAAAATAACAGAACCACACCAAATATTCAAGTGACATCACTAGTTCTTGCATTAATTCCTGTACTATGCTGTACATTTGCTTCCTTGTAAATGGCTTACCTAAAAGTTTCACCTTGTTCTGCTAAAACAAAAATCACAACTATTTTCCCTTTGCCAAGATTATCAGAAAAGAAAAGCATGCTCCAGATCCATTCATGATATCAAAACAGACAATCTCTGGAGTTTAAATAAAGTAGTTTTGAAATGATAAAGCACCAGTGGCATGTATAACTAGCATGATCTTTTACCAAATTCACTGTATAGTAAAATACAATTTTATACTTTAAAATGGTACATACTCTTAAGATGCCCTAATTTTGTATAGAAAACAAAATCCTAAGAGCCTTCTGTTCAATTTCATGTGGCATTTGCTCATTTCTTTATTTTCTATCAGCATACCCTGACCACAAGCAACAGAATATAATATATTGAGGAAGCAAACAATTTCTATATATGTGATAGCTTCTTTTTTTAAACCATGCCATGGTATTCTTTTTCATCTAGCCTCTGAAGTATTGCTAAGGAAACACAGGGAAACAGCCTGGAGCTTCACTTCATAGAGAAAGTATATTTATTCTGTTTCCTAACCAGAGACACTTGTGGTTGGTGATGAAATTCCCCATATTTCCACAAGGCATACATGTATGCATTTCTTTACAATATTTAGTGGCCAGTCCACTCTAAAGCAGCTGAGAGGTTTGCATTAAAAACAGAAAATGTAAGATCAGTCTAAGCAAAGACCATGTCAGGACACAAGAAAAGGAACAAGCGCACCACTAGTAAGAGCACTCTATCACACCATTCACAAATCTCTCTAAAGTCATAATCTCCACCCCAACTCAGACCATCAATGCAACGGCAAATGGCTACTTACATGTGTTTCAAAGGAATGGAGACATCACTTACCCGTAAAAAGGAGAGGTCTCTGTTATGTTCAATGCTGGTGATTTCTAGATTGCCCATTACCACTTCACAGTTCTCATAATATTTTCGTAATGTACGATACTGTTGTTCAAGGTCAGACAGAGAGCTCAGTTTGTTCTCAGTGCCAGCACAAACTGTAAAAAAAAAATAAAGGAGAGAATGGGAATAATGAATAAGACCTAATATAGATGCGGCCCCCAAAATTCATGTATTTTAATTTATCTAAAGTTAAATGACTGTTAGTACTCATATAAAAGATATTGCAGCCGGTTAATTTAGGTATATATGAATTAGTTCATGAGTGTTGTGGTTTCCTCATTCTCCTAATTTTTTTTTACTATTCACTGCTATATGCAACATTAAGAACATTATTTGAAACTCCACCAGGGTTGGAAAAGTGAAGCCCTCAGAATAGATGACATGGAATTCTGAACAAAAATGAGAAAAGCATTAATGCTACCATAATAACCACAATAAAAATTCAGGAGTGTGCATATCCTGCAGTGGGTTTGAAAGCAGTTAAAGCAATGCTTTCACTGAACTTATATCAGTGCAGCATGGGCTTGTCATTATAGCAGATACACTTCTGCTCCCAATAGATTTGTTTTGTTTGTCTAAATATATTGTCTAACATAAACAATTAAGAATAATTAAAGAAGATAGGAAAAATGGATTTTGAAATCAGTTACATGAAGGGGAGGTGGAATGAAATCAGTCATTTGCTCACCCCCAAAAGAGGACAAAAAGTGTGAAATTTGACTATTTTACTAAATCAGCTACAGTACTTACTCTCCTCACTCTATTCAATAAGGAGTCTATTCTTATTAGATTGCAAGCATCACTTCCAAATGTTAAAAGCAAACAAGGATACAAAGAAGGCATTTAAAATGTTTTTTATATTACTGTAAAGTCTTAAACACATGTATTCTCACATTATCTCAGGGGTGTGATAAATCAAATGTGATGAGATTAAGCAATTGTGCAAGAGTACTAGAGATTTTTAAAAAATCATTTCCAGAATAATGCTTGGATATCTTAAGATATAGAGATTATTTGCAGCTATGCCAGAAGAGTTGGCTATCAAAATTATGATATCTCTCATTGTTTGAGAAATGCCATTTAATTACTGTACTGTACACTTATTTTCAGAAAAATAGCTTTGTCTTTGTCTTTCTTTTTTTTATGTAGTAATTACTGTGGACATACTATCCTGTGCATAGAACATACAATCCTGGGGAAGTGGGGGGGGTTGTTAATTTCCGGCCCAAAGGGAGCATATTTTGTTCTGGATGGACCAAGAGCACTCTTGCTATCATCAGGTATAAGAGCAAGGAAATTGCAAAGCTGTAATGAAGGTATGTGATAGCAATGGGAGCTAAGCAGATATAAGGGCTGCAAATAAGGGGGGAAAGGTGGTGGGCCCGTTGGATATGTCCCACTTTCAAGTGAAGTGGTAGAGAAGTAGGTGGAAGGAAATTGCTGAAGAGAGGAGCAGGGGGGCTCACAAGGTAAGTCAGGGGCATCTGTGGAGAAGAGGCTGGAAAGAGAAATGCCACACTTGAATTCAAGCACACTGGCAAAGAGATTAGGCAGGCAGATCACTACATAGCCCATCTGTTGGAGGAGGTAGCACAGGAATTGAGGCATAGTAGCTTTGCCTTACTCAACCTACTTGCTTCAATATCTATCACATAGAACAACCTGCAACATTTTGTGATTTCTTCCTACTTTTCAGCACCCTGAAAATCTAAATGGTCTTCCTATAGTATAGACACAATTAAAAAGACATTCAAATAACAGTGTCTTTATGTTCATATAATTATGCTTATGCTGGATAATTAAACCTTTTATAATTTAATGCTGGCCAAGGTTAGCCAACAGCTGCCATTGCAAGAAAAATATCTTTATAGCTTGTGCCTCATCTGCATGAAAATATTTCTATCAGAAATAGCTATGTATGTTCAGAAAATATTAAATATATACTTAGTAAACACGATAAACAGCTTCTTGACTATAGAAAATTTGCAGCAACAAATGGCTAAAGAGAGCCCACATTCACTTTGTTTGCTTCTTTGTTTCTTTACATTTCTGAAAGCTTTCTGTTAAATGATTGGGCATTCTAGTCACATCATATTAGCCTCTATAAGATCTGTTGCTTAAGGAATCAGGTGTTCTACTGAAGATATCCTACCTTCATAAGATTAAATTGATTATGCTTTAACAAATACTCCATTTGTTTAAATCAAAATTAATTCAAGTTCCTTTTTATTACAATATTCCATAAAGCAGAGGTAAAATTACAAATGAAGCACCAAAACCCAGAGTGTTTGTTTCCAGAGTGCATCAAACACAGGAAAGTAGTCCATATATAACCGAAGCATCTTCTTATTAACTCTGTGAATTTAAATTGAATTGAAATGTGAAATCAAATCTAATTTTCAAAGACTAGTTTTTGGAGAGCAGGCCTAAATACACCCCTGGAAGACTTTTAGTCTGGGAAAATGTTAAGTATCCCTATGACAGAACCTAAACATTTGGGAATTATATTGGATTGTAGCCATTCTATATTTCTACAGTAATCAATTTGGTAATCTTTAAGATATTAGGAGAATGTCAGTTTGCTGTTTCTCCCTAAGATCTCCCAGCCTTTTTTGCTAACATCATTGCATATCGCAATTTATTTTTTTTTATCATGGCACCATGACTGGAGCATTCAGAGAAAGTCTGAAAATAACATGGCTGTTAAAATGTTAGAGGGTGCAGAGCATGGCTGGCAGGTAAACATATAGGAGACTCTATTTGTGCAGCTGGGCCTGCAGGGGATCTCAGCTTTGTTGCTTGTGTACCATTCCCTGTATTGTACAATGACATTTCCATCAGGGTTATATGACCTAATTGCTGGGGTATCAGTAGAGTTCCCATATTTAGTGGTGTTGGTTGACTTCAAATGCCTTCTCTCAGTAAGGGGTTTGGAGAGGTCAGAAACCCATGGCAATCACCGGACCAAGTAATGAAGGACCCAACACACATGAGAGGTCAAACACTAAACTCTGTGGGTTTTTTTAGGTCAAACACTAAACTGTATCAAACACTAAACTGTTTGTTTTTGTCTCAGGACAGACACAAAGGACCATCACTTAAGTATGAGCCAACAATATACTGCAGCTGCCAAAAAGGCCAATGCAGTCCTAGGAGGCTGCATTATCACAATGAGAAGTGATAATATAGTTTTATACTACAGTGGTGAGACCACACTTAAAGGCTTGTTATCTGACAGGGCCTCAATAAACAGCAATTTGAATAGAAACTTCCAGTCTTTCAAAGTCCATTCTGCCAGAGACACAATCTGCTTTGTGACTCTTGAGCTTTAAGTTAATGGTGAAGACTACCTGTTCCGTTTTGCACAGGAAAAAGGAATGTTATAACTGAAGGTAAAATTTGTGGAGGCAGGACATTTCTATTTTATGCTTTTTAATCTTTTTAATCTTGCTATTTTTTGTAAGTACTTGGGATTTGGGGGTTATATTATGTTACATTGACATTGTTAGTAGGCCAGAACCTCTGGATATAGATGGGCATACAAGCAAGGTAAACCAAATAAACTATCAAGTATATGTCATAAAAATTGTGACGTTTGAATTGTGGCACTATAAATACTACCTATTTTATTTTATTTTATTTTATTATTTTATTTTATTTTATTTTATTTTATTTTATTTTATTTTAAGCCTTTGTGGATTACAGTTCACTATTATTCACAAGTGTTTATGCTTTATTAAACTGGTTAGTCTTTGACAAGGCTTGTTATTTTTGCTTTAAAAGAGTAACACCCTGAGGCAATCTTTATAGAAATGCAATTAACACAGTTATCCCTCACTGAGTTTCACAAGTAATTGCAAAGGGTTTCCGGAACACAGTTTGACCAAGTCAAGACAGCTTTCCAACTCCACATACTTTGTTGAATTATCCTTGACACACTAAAACTGCAATTTTCTTTTTCAATTCTTGGAGCTGTGTTCTGGGTATCTCTGGGTGAGAGACTGTAACCCTATTCAAATAAAAAAAATTAAAAAGAAGCCATAGTTAACAGGATTTCAGAAAATTATATATATATATATATATATATATATATATATATATATATATATATATATATATATATATATATATATATATATATATTTCGTAGATTTTCACGGATACAGGTATGCAGGTCTTGGTGTATTCGGGTCTTTTCCCGTGTAAGATTGAGAGTATCTTGGCGACGTTTCGACGAGGTCCCACTCGTCATCTTCAGGCTGGAGTCTTTGGCTTCAGGCTGGAGTCTTCGGCTTCTGTGCGAGCAAAGTGTGATCGGAGCTGCCGTCTCTCTATAAATACTGGTGGGGGTGGGTGGAGTGCTGGCTTAGTTGCTGTAGGTGGATTGGTTGGCTGTGTGGGAGACATTGTTTGTGGAATGTTTGGCTGTTTCGTAACATCCTGAGTAGTTGAGGTGCTGACTGTGTGACCATTAGTCTTTTGTGTTATAACAACCTGGGTAATAGGTTGTGTGATTACATCCTGAGATCTAGTGTAGTGATATCCTGAGTTTTGTGTTGCAACATCCTGGGTGGTTGGCTGTGTTGTAACATCCTGAGCTTTAGCGTTGTAACCTCCTGAGTTCTGTGATGTGATGTCCAGAGCAGAAGGCTGTGATGTAGCATACCGGGCTTTGGTTTGGCTCCGAGTTTGCGGTCTAGCTC